AGTGCATTAAAGTTGCACCTTAGTGACGTCGCTGTCAAGGCATTTACTCGGTAGATGAACTCATCTACAGAAACATTCTCTGGTGAACCATCGAAAGTCAACTTCCAATTTACAATTATTTTGGAAATTGCTTCTGGAGATAAGTTCTGCGTATTTCTAGCACTACCGTTGTTGTTATTGATATTGTGAACATTTGGTATGTTAAGGTTTCTGCTGCTATTTAAGTTGACGCCCTCCTGAGCAGCGGAACGGTACGTACCACCAGGAGAGTGTAAGATTTCGTTCTGTTGCCATTCTGGTCTTTGCTCATCTCGTTCATTTCGCTCATTATTGATGTTTAGATTTTGGAGACGAGTTTCCAATGACTGAGAAACTAATTGGCTTACAACTTCTGTAATTTCGCGAGTCATGGCTACTCTTTGCCGTTGTGTGGTCTCTTCAATCATTTGTTGAACTCTTTGTAAATCAAAGTTGGACTGTCGTTGATCCTCTCGATTATTTCTATGTGATCGACTCCCTCGCGTATTTGCAGGTGAGTGAGACTCATCAAGATTAGACCTATCAAGATTGTTGTTATGCGCAGCTCTTGATCGTGTAATTCTACGACCTCTACTATTGGCGTTAGGAGCCCTAGAGACTGCGCCTTGAGAAGACGCGTTCTCAGGAGCGGGACGTAAATCCTGTTCGGAGAAACTTCTAAGCGACTGAGAATCGATCGATCTTCGGCACAATGGGCATGAGTCGTTCTCAGTCAGCCAAGTCGATAGACACGATCGATGAAAACCATGCGAACACGGCGTAGCCACAAAATTAAAATTCGTCGTTTCGTCATTGCAAATGGTACATATGTTACCAGGAGCAGCTAGGTTAGCTAAATGCTCTTCGCTATGGCGTACAGACATTTTCTTAAAAAAAAAGGTTCATATGTATACTACTCTCAAATATATCTCAAACTATAGCATCAATAAATCGAAGTCTTGCAAGTTATAATTAGTCGTTGGCTGAGTAAGATACACTCGAATAAAATTGTTTGTTTACGCATTCTGGAACGGACTGGTGTATGTTGGTGCAAAAACCGAGTGTCTTCATTATTTTACATCTAAGTATTAACGCTTAAACACCTCGAAGAATGTAAAAAGGGTAAAAACACAGTTCGTAAATACATAGTTCCAATCAACAAACTGGTAGAGAAAAACGTTAAATTTTTAACTCCAATCCAAATGTCTATATAAACAAGAACGTATTTACAAAAAAAATCGCATGCATAACTTGTTAAAGTTGGTTAGATGGACAACCAAACGCATCCAAACTAATTCCGTCACTTCAAAAGTCAGCATCTAACATAAAAGATTCAAAAAATTGTCGGGGCTCCAAAGCAAATCTTCGGGCCCCACGTTGGGCGCCATATTATTATATACTGTCATGGACCGCACTAGGGTGCTCGGAGCGGCGTGCATGCTTGCTTTAACCGGGCTTAGTCACTCGGTGGTCGGGGTTCTTGCTCCTTGCACTTTACCCTAGCGATTTGCATATATAATAAATAAATTCATGCACTGAAATAGGAACGAAACCTGAACGGAAAAATATCATCAGAAAACTTTGCACTCACATTTTAAAACACAATACAAACGGACGGACTCGTAAGTTGACACAGTAATAATCGGACAGACAATAGGAATCAGATAAAATGTATCAAACAAAAGAAAATCACCACTCAATGACTTGTTAACCATGCCACGCACTAGCGTATACTATGCGAAAGTATAGATATGCATAAACAACAACCCATTCTTACTGTTGGAGGTCAGAGATGGTGTTATGCCCCCTTATCTCCTCTCGTTCCCTACCCTACCATTGCATTGAGAGTGAACATCAGCTCTCCTCTACCCAACCGAAACGACGCCAACGACTAAATGGGTAACTCACAAGACTTCACTTAACAAATTCACTCTTTATTCATAATTAACTCTTAATATTAAGGAATTTTCAATTTAAACTCAAAACTGAGCATATTCACGCCCTTATTTGTTGATATGAGCAAATATTTAACTTTAAGTATACAGCGTTTATTCATATGCCTAAGCTAAAGAACCTTAATGGAAATGGAACGTGGTTTAGGTAGACAAAGAAAAAATAATAATTTTTAGGATAATACGCTATGAGTGTATGGATGTATGTATATATATAT